CAGTGCTCATCCCTAAAGGTGCCCTCCTCAATACCCATCACCCACTCTCCCCTCCCTCCCACCCACCATCAACCCTCAGTTTGTTCTCAGTCTTTAAGAGTCTCTTATGCTTTGGCTCTCTCCCACTCTAACCTCTTTTTTTTTTTTTTTCCTTCCCATCCCCCATGGGTTTCTGTTAAGTTTCTCAGGATCTACATAAGAGTGAACACATATGGTATCTGTCTTTCTCTGTATGGCTTATTTCACTTAGCATCACACTCTCCAGTTCCATCCACGTTGCTACAAAGAGCCATATTTCATTCTTTCTCATTGCCACGTAGTACTCCATTGTGTATATTAACCACAATTTCTTTATCCATTCATCAGTTGATGGACATTTAGGCTCTTTCCATAATTTGGCTATTGTTGAGAGTGCTACTATAAACATTGGGGTACAAGTGCCCCTATGCATCAGTACTCCTGTATCCCTTGGGTAAACTCCTATCACTGCTATTGCTGGGTCATAGGGTAGGTCTATTTTTAATTTTTTGAGGAACCTCCACTGTTTTCCAGAGTGGCTGCACCAATTTGCATTCCCACCAATAGCGCAAGAGGGTTCCTGGGCATCTTCTTTTTCTAATTACTTGCTTAAACCCCCATTCCTCCAGACTGTAGGTAATTCGGTATCTCTCGCTCTCAAGGACTCACCATTCTTCAACTTGTCCAGGAACCCTGAGAAGTTACTTAGTCCAAAGGGAGCAGTATCGTTTCAACGTTCCGTGTGGAAAGAACTAATCAGTCCACTTAAAGTTCTGATTTTAATCACTCCTACGGGGTGTTATTGTTGAAAACCGGTTCCTAAGTTTCTAATGAGCCCCTGGCTTGCTATAAGGGTGTCCTTTAAGCTGAAGAACCCTATAGAGGCATCAGGGTAGCACTGAGGACGTGGGTTCGCGAGATGACAGCTTATTGGCTTTATACTCATATAATCAGCCACTGTTCTCTAGACCCGACAGCTTTGCCAAAGTGGCCAGGTATAATTGGGTTTCTAACCACAGCTACACACTGTATCTAAACATGCTGTCCCTAAATACACTGTCCCTACAAACCTCTAGGCCCTGGTGTTGAGCCTAAGTCACTATGCCAGACTCCCTCTTTCTTCTTGAGGAAACTTCAATGTGTTCTCTTGCCATGGGATCTCTGTTAGGGCTTTCTCAGCCCCTCAGAAAGCTCTAATCTCCAAAAGGTAGGGGATAGGGTTTTGATCCCTTTCTTTCTGGAGGATCTTTGGCCCTAGGTAAGTTTAATTTGGCATATCACGGGGAAAGTGGGAAGAACAATCTTTGTAAATTTCCTTTCCCCAGAGACATGTATATCAACTCACTTCATGTTGGCATAATTAAGATTATTCAGGGAACTATAAAGAAGATCCAGGGAGTACATGTCTTGTTCTATCTTGCCACTTCTCCAGATAAACAAACAAAGTTTCAAATCACTATGAATGTTTCTGGAAAGTTGGAACCCTTAAAAATTATTGATTATAGTTTGTCCTTATTTGAGAGGTAGCTAAAACATGGGAGTATATAGAGCATATCATTTATAAAGTTTCATGGGAATAAAGGATAGAAAAAGATTCTAGGATATGGAGGCACTAAGGATCTGAAGGGCCCCCTGTTACATGGGGGAGAGAAAGAGAAGGATTTTCCTTGTTTTATTTTTTGTCATTAAAAGGTGCGAAGTACCTGTGTGGCTCAGTCAGTTAAGCATGCGGCTCTTGACTTCAGCTCAGTTCATGATCTCAGGGTCGTGGGATCGAGCCTCATGTTGTGCTCTGCACTGGGCATGGACCTTGCTTAAGATTCTCTCTCTCTTTCCCTCTGCCCCTCTCCCCCACTCATGCTCTCTCTCTAAAATAATAGTAATAATAATAATAATAATAATAATAATAATAGTAGTAGTAGTAGTAATGGGGGCTAGTGTATCTACAGAAGCCCCCAAGCAATGCATCATAAGGTATGTTCTGCTTCAGAGAGAATCTGATTCCCAAAAATTCTCTTCTGAATTTCTTCCACTGAACTAAAGCCCTAAAATCCTCCAGGCTTCTTGGTAAACCAGTCCTCATCTCTCAGTGAGTCAAGTTCCTAACAGAAAAATCTCAGAACCTTTGGTCAGGGAATGCCAGCATTTGCCAACATGCCTTTAGACTCACTAATTTTCTGATACTAAAAAGACCATAATTCCTATGGAGAGGAGAAATATATTGAACCAATATATTCCTTTTTTAATGTTTATTTATTTTTGAGAGACAGGGAGAGAGAGAGAGAGAGAGAGAGAGAGAGAGGGAGAGAGAGAGAGAGAGAGAGAGAGAGAGAGAGAGAGAGAACACAAGCAGGGGAGGGGCAGAGAGAAGGAGACACAGAATCTGAAGCAGGCTCCAGGCTCTGAGCTGTCAGCACAGAGCCTGACGTGAGGCTCAAACTCACAAACTGTGAGATCATGACCTGAGCTGAAGTTGGAAGCTTAATAATGGACTGAGCTACCCAGGTGCCCCAAACCAGTATATTCTTAAGCCCCTCATTCTCACTAGTACTTGATCTTTTCCAGTTTTTCAAATATTTGACGTCAATTAACTCAAGACATAAAATAAAATACAACATTCAATGTTAAAGCTTTCTTGATGCCAGGATATTTTATACTTCAGCTTGGCTGGGCCAGTCAGCACAAGTCACTTGGATACTGTGGGAAAATATAGTGAAAATTCTATAAGGTGGTAACAATGTGGGGGCAATTTTTTGTTAATTCATCCCCAAAGAAGGAACTCTCTTTGAATACTAGTATTAAAGACAAAGACTAACTTGCAATTTGATAAAAGACAGTGTTATAGAAAGACTTTTTTTCTTTTCTTCTTTCTTTTCTTCTTTCTTTCTTTCTTTTCTTCCTTCCTTCCTTCCTTCCTTGTAGAATTGTTACCATGTTTTAGACTTTCTTTTTTTTTTTTTTTAATTTTTTTTTTTCAAAGTTTATTTATTTTTGGGACAGAGAGAGACAGAGCATGAACAGGGGAGGGGCAGAGAGAGAGGAAGACACAGAATCGGAAACAGGCTCCAGGCTCTGAGCCATCAGCCCAGAGCCTGACACGGGGCTCGAACTCACGGAGCGCGAGATTGTGACCTGGCTGAAGTCGGACGCTTAACCGACTGCGCCACCCAGGCGCCCCTGTTTTAGACTTTCAGTGAATATATTTGCCTCCCACTCTAATATATAGCCATATCTTATGGAATAACGAGTTATGTTTTAATAGGATTATACTATACGTAACACATTCATGCGTTTAGAGATGAAATATCTAGGGAGAATATTTCCATTGCTTGTTATTGCTTGGCATTTCATGTGTCCTATCTGATATGTATTCACATAAAGGAAGCTGGTTTTAGTTATCTAATATAGTGCTATATTTATTACTTCAACTTACAAATCCTTGTATTTGGATTTCCAAACATGTAATTTTTAACATGTTTTATTAGTGAGGGAGCAATAAAGGAACAATTTTGCAGTTAATTTAACACCTATAAATGTCCCCGTTTGTGATATGAAAGAAATGGCCTTGTCAGACCACAGGTCTGCTCATATTTCAAAAAACATTAAATGTAAATATTTCTAAAGTGCCCTATATTTAAAGTTCCCTTTATTCCATAAAATATTAATGGGTTTATTGTTCTTTATAAAAGATGGTACCTGATTCTGAACAGATTTATTATGTGAAACTGTTCATTATTTTTAAAACAGCTATATGTGAGAAGCCATATAAAAGCTAGATGATTACAAACCAACAATTACAAACTGAAAAATGAATGTTAAAAAGATATTAACTTGTTTCAAAATTTATGTCCAAACAAAACCTGCACACAAATGTATATAGCATCATGGGGCGCCTGGGTGGCGCAGTCGGTTAAGCGTCCGACTTCAGCCAGGTCACGATCTCGCGGTCCGTGAGTTCGAGCCCCGCGTCAGACTCTGGGCTGATGGCTCAGAGCCTGGAGCCTGTTTCCGATTCTGTGTCTCCCTCTCTCTGCCCCTCCCCCGTTCACGCTCTGTCTCTCTCTGTCCCAAAAATAAATAAAACGTTGAAAAAAAAATTAAAAAAAAAAAACAAATGTATATAGCATCTTTATTCATGATTGCAAAAACTATAAGCAACTAAGATGTCCTTTAACAAGCGAAAGGATAAATGAACTGTGGCATATCTATATAATGGAATACGATTCAGTGATAAAAAGCAATACACCATCAAACCATAAAAATATGAATATGACTTTTAAATACATATTGCTAAGTGAGAGAATCCAGTTTATAGAGGCTACATAATATATGGTTCCAATGATATGACAGCCCGGAGAAGGTGAAACTATAGAAATGGTGAAAAGATCAATGGTTTCCAGGAGTTCCAGGCAGGGGAAGACCGAGTAAATGAGGCACAGGAGATATTTTAGGGCAGTGAGACTACTCTATATCATAATGTAATAGTGAATACATGATGCTATGCGTTCATCAAAACCCATAAACCTTACAACACAAAAACTGAATCTTAATGCATGCCGACTGAGAAAACACTTGCTGAGGGTGTATACCAAAAGGACACAGGATACAGCCGAAAGAGCTCCCAGTGGCCAAAGCTAGAGCTATTAGAACAACAAAAAACTTTAAAAGTAATATTGGATTATAATCCAAAGGATAAAGTAAAGAGCCATGAGTTCATACCGATACAAATAAATAAATAAAGATAAATCTCATGTGCAGAAGAATCCCAAAAAATGTATGTAGATACTCTGTCCTCAAGAAGATGGAATATAACTCCCCCACTCCTTCAGTGTAGACTGAGCATAGTGACTTCCTTCCAAAGAGTGCAGTATGGAGAGAGAGAGAAAAAGAACAACTTCACAGTGCAGAAACCTGGCAAACACTACCTCAGCCAGCTGACTAAGGCTACTATCAACACTGATAAGTCACATTCATAGTATGTACCTTTCATATGATGTGATGAAAACAGCGCTTTAACTCTATGGTCTTCTTCCCTGAAACATACAACCCAAGTTTAATAATATGATAAATACTAGACAAATCTCAATTGAGGGACATCTATAAAACCAACCAAAACTCTTCAAAACTTGTCAAGATCAGGGTACTTTGGCTGGCTGTTGGAAAGCATGTGACCTTTAATCTCAGGGTCATGAATTCAAGCCCCACACTGGGTGTAGAGATTACTTAAAAAAAAATGTTTTTTTGTCAAGATCCTCAGAAACAAGGAAAGTCTAAGTAGCTGTCACAGCCAAGAGAAGCCTAAGGAGATGTCATGTAATGTGGTGTCCTGGAGAAGATTCTAGAAAAGGATATTAGGGACAAACTTAAAAAAAAAAAAAAAAAGAATAAAGTATGGATTTTAGTTAGTAGTAATGTATCAATATTGACTAACTGTAACAAATGCACCACAATAATCTGAGATGTGAAATAATAGAGAATACTGGGTGTAAAAACTATTCTAAAATTTTAAGTTTATTAAAATAAAATTGAGAATCATACAATTATAGAAAGTGGGAAATAGAAGGAACCATAAAAATTACCAATTAAACCCTTTAATTTACAAGGGGGAAAACTGAGGATGTATAGTAGAACTTAATAGCCTGCACTTTGGAGAAGTCCTTGAGACAACAGTGGTGGCTAGCTGCTGAACTTCGTTCTCAGGGACACTATAACATTAGTCATAGTATGTGACAGATGATAAGTAATTACTGAATGGTGAATAATTTCCAAAAACCTACCCTCTACCCAAGTGTTGTGTCCATTCAATTTATTTATTTAAAAAAATTTTTTTGATGTTTATTTATGTGTGTGAGACAGAGAGTCAGAGTGCGAGAGGGGGAGGGGAAGAGAGAGAAGGAGACACAGAATCTGAAGCAGGCTCCAGGCTCTGAGCTGTCAGCACAGAGCCTGACATGAGGCTTGAACTTATGGACCACGAGATCATGACCTGGGCCGAAGTCAGATGCTCAACCTACTAAGCCACCCAGGCGCCCCTTTTCAATTTATTTATTAACCCATTCATTCATTTAACAAATATTTACTGAGTGTCTGGTATCATAATTTTTACTCCTAGAACTATAATTACTTAGAAACTCTATCCAAAGGAATGACATTTTGGCCATTTTCCATATCTGACTTTGTTGAAAACTCTGTTTAGCTGATTTAAGTTTCTAGGTATCCAAGGAAGAATTGTTGCAAGCCAAGTATTAACATTAAATAGACGGAGGAGACACCTTAAAGAGAACGATGGCTCTTAGGAGTCTTACGAGAGCATACATGTGGTCCATTTACACTCAAATCATGGGCTACGACCTTTTTGAACGGTAGTCAGATCTCCGATCTCTCATTCTACTCCTTTCACTATTTATGAAAGCAATAAGTTAAGAGCCTAGTTTTGTCTTGCTCTCCAGTTTCTGCTCCACTTCTCGCCAGCTGTGAGCATGATCTTGGCCAACTTACTTCATCTTTTTAAGGTTCAGTTCCCTCATCTGAAAAATTACCTCATAAAAGAATGTTGCTTAGGTTAAAGAAACCAACATTTCTAGAGTGTTTAACACACTTTGGCAATGACATTATTATTCCTAATATCATTACTATTATTGTTATCATTACCAACCTACCAGATGCTTGTAGCGGTGAAATAACTGTGGGAGGCTTAGGGCAATAACTCAGGGTCTACAAGAGAACACACGCTGGCACACTTAATCGGTCGTTTTTTCTAGGTATAATAAGTGGGTTGTTTCTAACAAACCACAGAATTGTTGTTGGGAATTGGGCTATGATTCTATTTACTGTCAGCCCAGTGCCTCTTTTAGACTGCTAGGAAACTAAAGGGGTTATTTTCAAGTTCCCTTCCTTCTTGGCCTCTTTTCCTGCCAACGTTTTTTTGTTTTTTTTTTTTAATGTTAATATTATCATTCGTTCTAAATATTCCATGGCTCCTTAAAAGTGGATAGTTTTTCCTGATACACTCCTCCCCTGATGTTCATTTTTAAAGCATACTTAATATTATATTTAAAGATCACATCATTCAAGGTGCTCATATGTTATCATATTTTTATCATATTTAAAGATCACATTACTCAAAACCTCTGTGTATAAACGCTGAGCAAAAGCCCAGCCCACCCAGCGGGGATGGTGCCCCCCTCTCCATGCCCAGGTAAAAGAGGTCTTGTGTTTGCTATTCTGACTAAGAGTCTCTGAGCAAGAAGTCTCTGCCTCCAATTCCCATTCTAGCCACGGCTGCCTGTGTGGGAATCCTAGCAGCTGCCAAGTACATCAGCCCTTTGAAATTGCACCCCCATAGGAATGCCTCTTGGAAGCAGTGCTGTTCCTGTAGTTGTAATGGCATCAGCTCAACACTTTACTCAACAGCTCCTTGGTACTTCTGCTGCCTCCTCCGGGGCCTCACTTGAGACTACTCAGTGGGGTCTGTTCTCATAAGTTCCACGTCAGTGGCAGAAAGCTACGTCTAAGTAATAGAGGTTATCTTGTTCAACCCAGCTGCAAAAACCATTCTAAGCACAAACGGTCCAACTTCAGAGGACATCTTAAGGGAAACTTTAAATAGTTTTAATAAAAAAGAATACTCTTTTATCAAGTTCAAAAAAGTTAATAAAACAGGTTAATTGTTTCTTTTTAACTGATTGAAGACTTTAAAGGGATTTGAGAAAGTAATTTTATCTGTGGCTCATTAGTACTGCAACAGACAGACTGCAAATTAGTTTACAATGAGCATGATTATTCTGAAACTCCTTTTGTCAAGGATACTCACATAAAACAGGTCCTGTTTCCCTCTTGGGAGGAAACTGTGAAGGTTAAAACCAGATGCTGCTTTTCCCCACACTGCCACCCTCAGTGACTCCAGAAGGATGTAAGCCTGAGGGAGATGAGAGAAAGGGGTCAATTATGGAACAGTGGAGCAGCAGATTCTAAATCAGGGCATATGCATGAGTTCCCAGAGATCCCAGAAATCAGAGGAAGCGCTTATGTGGGTTTCCAGTTTTTCATAAGCTTTAGATATCTGATGCCTAAAATTATTTATATCTAAGACATCTCCCGAAACTCCAAATGATGGGAAGGATTTTGTCGTTGTTGTTACTGTTTGTTTGTTTATAAAATGCTAATCAGCTTGCTTTTTAAATTTAATACCAATACTTTTAACAAAATTGCTTAAGTTCTATATCAAACTTTTCTCTACTCATGAGTTGACTATGTCACTAATTTGTGGGGCTTTTCTATTTGTAACAAATCTGATTGGACATTAGATTGATAAGATATACCTATATAAATCGCACACACACATACACATACACACACATATGCTATCACATAAAAATATAGCAGGGAGTATTTTCTAGAAAATGGGCAGTATATTTAAATGTCCTCACCTACCACACATAAGAGGTTTATTTTGGGAGACTCCAGAGACTGTCTCGAAGAGAGAGATGGCCTCCAGAGCAACATAAACCAGGGTTTGATGAGGTCTAAGTAACCGGCTGTCAGGAGAGAAAACAAAACAAACAAGATGTCTTAAGTCTCCATATATAAGAAGACAAACAGTGGCTTCAGATTTGAATCCCAAAGTAAAAGTCAATTAAATGCAAGGAAACAAAATGAGCAGTGCAATAAAAGACATTTTAAAAAAGAATCAACACACAGGAAAATGACCGTAAAATAAAGAGGAAAAGAGAGAATTCATCTACAAGAAAATCAATTTGTTGTTGGCACCATACTTCTGGTCTAGATTGATTGACCTGGGGTAAACAAGATGGATAGCTCACAAGATGGAGTGAAGGCTGTATAGCTTCCATTGTCCTCTTCCAATGCACATATGTCTATACTTTTAAGTCATACACATAAACTAACCCTATCTGTGGCATTTTTTTAGCCAGTATCATAGGAAACACATTTATAAATATACAAAGAATATATGTAGTTAATTGCACATATGCCTCTCATCTCTTTTCTTGAATTCCATACCTTTTGCTCCAGCTTCAATAAAACGGAGACCAGAGATTTGATCTCTCTTAGGACTGACAACTGCTCCGGGTCTTGTTGCTTTTCTCTACACTTTGCTCTACAAACCTCCATATCAGGGTGTGCATGTATGGCTTCCCTCAAACAGCTGTCAACAGGGGCCTTTCACTTACCTCCATTCTTCTTGACATGCCTTTCTTTGACTTCCATGATAATACTCTCCTGATTTTTCCACTGCTTCTTGTTCTCTAGTCATCCCTTAAATGCCAGTGGTCCCTAAGATTCCGATTCTGATTCTGATTAGCCCTATTTTCTTCTTACTCTATAATCCATTCTGAGAAGCACAATAGTGAAGGGCATGGACACTAGAACTACATTGCAAGGGACTTGCCATTTTCTGGCTCTGCGTGAGATATGGGGCAGGTTACTTAAAATCTTTGATGTTTCCGCATTTATAAAATGGGGCTAATAACAGTATCTACTTCATGGGCTCATAAGGAGACTAAATGAGTTTCAGACATGTGAAGTGCCTGGCACACAGAAAATACTTGGCAACTTTTAGCGGGTAAAGCCATGGCTTCAACTATCATTTAGTTGAATAACTTGATTAGTTATTTAGTCAATATTTTGTTGACTAATCGGTAAACTCTAATTGTCTGGCCCATACTTTTTTCTGAGCTCCAAGTCCATTTAACCAAGGGCTTACTAACCATTCCTAGCTGCATCTAGGACTCCTCAAATTCAACATTCATAAACTAAGTCATTTCTGAAGTAGCAGAAAAAGAAATTAAGAAAACAATCCCATTTAAACTGCACCCAAAATAGTAAGATATCTAGGAATAAAGCTAACTAAAGATGTGAAAGATCTGTACTCTGATAACTATAAAACATTGATGGAAGAAACTGAAGATGACACAAAGAAATGGAAAGATATTCCATTGCTCATGGACTGGAAGAACAAATA